ATACATTAAAAAATTTAATAAAACGGAATTACATTAAGCCAAAATGGAAGTAGTGTGTGTGTGTGTGTGTGTGTGTGTGTGTTTTAACAACATAAAACAGAACAACATAACAATGTACATTAGGGTCATTCCAACTATTCAGTGCCTTTTGAGTCCCCATGTCATAATGTGGTATATTTTGTTTAAAGGTGGGTTAATATTTATTTTATTAATCTCATCTTATATGTTTGACTCCCCTCTACCAAAAAAAATCAACCATATGTACACAAGATGAACTTATTTAATTAATTAATTTATTCAATTTATTTAATTTATATATATAAAAAAATTTAATAATTAAATCAAATTTTAAATGCAACATGGGTTTACAGCCATGTATGCTTCCTGAAATTAAGTTACAATTCTAAGTAATAAAAAAGTCATTTTTAAATCATTTTTAATAGTACTATTTATAATAGTTCTCATCCAGTGACTTTTTATGATATCAAAAATATTTTTTATGCTTAAGTTATAAAAAATACATTGAGTCCCAGAGTCAACTGTCCTCCCTGTTACTCTAAAATACTTGTCACCCCCAATTTAGTTTAATGTAATTCTGTTTTTTTTTTCAAATGTTGTTCATTTACACCTCAGGGCCACCGTAGTAGATCTCTATTCTGTTTGTCAAATGTAATAAAAGATCTATTTGTGTTTAATTCATTTTCAGTACTGTAAAAAGACATTTGCATTTTTTAATGCAGTTTTGTGTTGCATGAAAATCAGAGTGTATCGTTCTGTGTTCAGGTGCTAATAAACACAATGAGCCGACTCCTCATATTCAAGGACTCTTTCTTTTAAAAGCTAAACAAAGGATGTTTATGATAATTAAGTAAATTAGAAAAAATAAACTGCGAGAGCTTTATTTATCAAAATGAATGACAAAATTCTTGATTTGCGAAGTACAAGGCATGTCATTTTAGAGTTAGTCATCAGAAAAAAAAGGATTAAAAGGGTTAGCGTTTAGCAAAATATATTTAATAAAGAGGAAATGTCAAGTCACTTTAGTTCAACATGAGTCTCGGCTGTTGTTTTGATGCCAATGTTTAGTTTCTCTGCTTCATGGTGGGCTGCGTGTGCTTTGGTCAACAATGTTCGCATCTCCCTCACTTTGTAACACGACGAGCACATCATGGTTGGAGCGTCTCCAAAGCAGATTTACAAGGTAAAGAAATACTCAGGTTCAGCCGTGAAGCAGGCGGACAACAAGCAGAATCAATCCAAAGCACAGTGAGGGGAGAAACACACAGCACTGCTGATTTGTTGCTGCACTGTGAAGGAGTGCTCATCCACTGAAACAGGACCTTACGGTGCTTTTGAACATCCTAATTTAAAAACTAAGCATGTAATTTATGTCATGCCTAATAAAATGTAAGGTACTGAACAGCATGTTATTATCGAATACTGTAGATGCATAAAGGTGGTCATGAACAAACTGAGACATTGGACTAGTGTACTATTGCTTTAGTTTCTGATTTATATTTTTTAAATTTGTATTTTGCAATGCAATTCAGCATACTTTGTAATATTTTAAGGATTCAAGTTTCTTTATTTGTCATGTGGTACATGTGGTGGAATGAAATTGTGTACACATGGTCCAAGTTACATCCAACAAAAGTATAAAATGTAAAAGAAAAACAGTAATAAGATCTAAGATATGAACTAAGAAAAACGTTAACTAAAAATACACTAAGCACTAGTAGTATAAAAACAATACGCCAAACGGCAGCACAAACATGAGTCCGTGTGAGCAGATGAGTACGAATGAACACAGCAGCATAACTAAAAGTTACAAGACAACAAGCAAGAATGTTGAAGCAGTTTTCAAAGACAATAATTATTTTCAAGAACATAAAGAAATATCATTATTTATATTGGGGAAATAATTGTAAATAATGTTCAATAACTTGAAAACTATAGAGGCCTAAACAAAAACAAAATGCCCTAGCACCCGTCTTCAAAATGAGATGAACATTGATATACAAGCAGTTACAAGTTACATATACAAGCAGGGCCACCTGCATCATGAAGGACCCCACTCACCCAGCACACACACTTTTTGCCCTGCTGTCCTCAGGCAGGAGGTTGAGGAGCATTAAGTGTAGAACCACTAGACTGAGGAACAGCTTCTACCCTGAAGTTTTTAGACTCATGAATATCTAACCAGGATAATTACTGTGAAAAAAAAATACGTTAAGGTTCTGATATTGTAAGCTTTTACCTAGCGTTTTGCACCTTTAGCTTTTAGCCATTCCATTTTCAAATTTAATGTGGTTTTGAAAGGAGTTTTATAAATTTTCATCAATAAATTGACAATAACATTTTATAGAGGAAATTTATTGTGTAAATAACTTTAAAATGGAAACATTCTTCCTATTTGTCAGATTTTCTTGCCATGCAATTTAAACTTGAAGGGAACATTGGGGTTTTCGTTACATTTTCTTTGCTCTTGTGTGTGTAAACATATATTTTGGTAAGTTCCAGCAGCTACACATTTTATTACTTTTTGACATCACAGCAGTAAAACGTAGGTATTTACTCTTTTGAGGAGTAGCATCTGACGTGTTACCATTCAGAGCAGAAATAATCCAGCTCAGGGAGAGCCATTCTGTTAAACATTGCTAGCTTTTTCCCTCCCCTTTCAGTGAGACTTTTACCTGCCAGCTGGCTCACAGCCACCTTACAAATATGACCTGGAGTGACCTCACATACACGAAGGCAGCGAAACAAGAAAGTGCAGCAGCTTGTAAGCAGGCAGCAGGCAGCAGAGAAACAGGATGAGGCTGTCAGCATGCAAGCTGTGATGTAGTGGGTCTTTATTAGATCTGAGGTATGTTAGGGCATGTAAAAGCACATGTGAGCATGCCTTTACATGCACCTATCATCTGCATCTGGTCACATAATGCCGACCCAGCTCAGCAGGGACTGGATCTGATTCATATTCACATTCTGCCAGTCACAATATGTGGCTGATTAATGGACTCACATCCTGTTAGATACACACATACACACACAAAACCCTTTTAGTTTTGGCATTGTGGCTTGTTTCAACAGTGATTTATTGCATTGAAGGCTTTAAATTCGGCACGGTTGCTTCTTCTGTTTAGTTATTGTACAGAGTAACGATTGCTGGTATGGAAATGGAGAACTCATGGAAAAGTACAAAGGCAGCTGAAATCCCCTCGTTGTGCACGTAGCTCGCATCAATACATTTCATAAAAGCAACCAGCTTAATGAGCTGGTATGTATGCATCAACATTGCACAACTAATTGTGAAAAATTCATACACAACCAATCTCTCAGAGCTGAAAGGGTCTGATTGATGCTATACAGATAACAGACAACAAACTGAATCAGAGCAGGATGTGTCTCCTTTCTGTAATAGTTTAATGCACATCAGCTTAAATGCACTAATTAAAGGAGCAGTTTCTTTTTTCAGCTGCACTCTTCTGCAGGATTCACCACAGCAAGTGAACTTGCATGACAGATTTGGTGATTGTCTTAAAAATGCAGCCAATCTGACTCACTTCGCCATATAAGTTGCATTTATTATGCGTCATTGTTGACGAGTTGTGTTTGATATGCGTTACCGCTGACCGCACTGAAGCATGGGCCAAGGTGCCAAAAATCGATTGGCTGCCGAATGGCAGCCGCGTAGCGTGCATGGAAGGACTTTAACAAGAATTTAACAAGATTAGCTCTTAAAAACAATTACTTGTTTGCTCGACATTATAGCAAAGGTGTGTCTCAGATGAACTTTTCTTAATAAATGCACTTTAACGGTCAAATCAGCTGCATTTCAAAAATTGATTTGCGAAAGTGTGCAGAGGGAGGATTCACTGTGCATTTTGTCCAAATTTAACAAGAGTAGCACCTAAAAATAATTATTTGTTTGCTCAACATTATACCAAAGGTGTGTCTCAGTTGAACTTTTCCTTAAAAAATGCACTTTAATGGTCAAATCAACTGCATTTCACCTGGGCGGCACGGTAAAATGCAGCTGATTTGACGTCTGCTCCAGGAGTTCTGGAGCGAGATGAAGGTGGCTTGGTATGGCAAGCCAAGTATCTCATTAATTGCCACTTTTACCTATTAATGAGACACTTGGCTAGACATATTGCTTAGGGCCCTCTAGTGACTGAAAATGGTAGTGATCAATATTTCCCAGGTCAGAATGAATGAAATTGTTAGATCTCAGCCAAAATTGGGTTATAAATATGGGGAAAAACGTATATTAGTCGCTTTGGTGTGTAAGTCACAGGACTTGCAAATTTATGCAAAAAGGTGCAACTTATACGTTGAAATATACAGCAATCAAGTAATTAGTTAATTTATTAGCATATGTTTAAAGCTCAAAACCTTAACAATGTTACAATAATTCATTTTTGTTTCCACATTACTGAGGCATGTGTGTTAGTGACACTGGTAAACTCGGTAAAACAGACATATTTGTGTGAATGGAGGTGATTGAAAGAAAGTGAATTTTTACATGAGGGCCACATGCTTTAAATGTGCAGATGTTCACCATTGCCATATTATAAAGAACAACTCAGGTTGTTGTCCTGACTAAGTGTTCAAAGTTTGGTAGAAATCACCATTTTAGTTCTTGAGATATTTTTTATTTTTGCTACTATCTGTCTATGTGCTTAATATTTCATCACATCAGCCTTATTCTGCACTGGAAGTCACACCCATAATTCATGCAAGGCACCATGGGGCCTAGGAATAAGGTAGATAAGAACTTGAGCAAAAACACATTGCATCTGTGTATGTAAAAGCAATTGATAATGTGTCAACTTTTTGAAGAGGTGTCCCATTTCTTATATTTTGATTGCCACCCCTTGAGACAAGGACATTCAAAATCTAGGGGGAGGGGAACTACTAGGAAATAGGGCTCATCCTGAAGCTTTACCTCCCACAAGATAAATAAAAGCAGAACCAGTAGAAAAAGTCAAACCACTAACCTTGGCAAACAGTGCCCCTTTGGCTGCCAAAGCATCCTCTCCTCTCCCGTTGGGGTAGCACTCAAACCGTGCGTCCAAGATTGGGTAGCGACTGGCCAGCATTAGGCCGCTGTTCAAGAATTTGAACCTGGAACAGCAGCCTTTCCAGCCATACCGCCCAACATCACTAAGCACATAAGGGAAGTAGCGGTGCAGCTGCCGCCGCAGTCTTGTTGTCGATCCATGGTCAAATACTTCCTGTAGAGCAAGAAAATCCAGGTTGGCAGGGAAAAAGGCAGAGATCTCATGGTCAAATGTCTCATCTCCATGACGACGTTTCCGTCCTGGACGCTTGAAGATAGAAGTGCGTGGGACATGAGAGAGAGTATTATTGGAGGATATCCCTACAGTGATGTCACCACAGTGGTAACGAGTGAGGGACTCCCGAGAAGCAGTCATGCCCATGTCTCCTCCAGCCATCTCTCTGTGATTACCAGTCTCAGCCTCCTCCTCCTGGGCTTCTGGTTCTGGAGCACTGATGCTGATTTGAACCCCTGAGGTGTGAAGTGGGCAGTCTGTAGGATTTTTTTGCTGCATCCCTTCTCCATGCATGGGGCAGTCATGATGGCCAGAGCCACTTTGACCTCCAGTGGAATGCATGGGGCAGTCTGCAGGTTCCCCTGAGGTCTGAACAGGACAGTCTGAGCTGCTGTTGGTCTCTGTGGAGTGAAGGGGACAGTCTGCTGTGGTGTCTGATGCATCATGGTGAACAGGGCAATCAGTGAAGCCCTGCTCTCCTGTAGGGGGGTGAACAGGGCAGTCGGTGGCTCCTGGGGGATGAACTGGGCACTCAGTGACGGGTTCAGTTTCTGTTTCGGCCGGGCCATTGGTGGTGTGTGTTTGCTCTGGACGCTGATCCAGAGAGGAAGTGCGGCGGAAACCTGTAGCTAGACTGCTGAATGACGCCGCACTAAACAGAACAGAAAGGAAGATGTTTTAAAAGTGTTGATTTAGCCTCTGCAACTAAAGGAAGGAACTCTGGAGAAAACGCCACTCACCTGATGGAGGTGTTGGTCGGTGAGTCAATGTAGATTTTAATCTGGGGTCGACTGGCTCCGTTGCGAATTCTCTTACCCACCTCACGAGCTCTTCTTTGTGTGTCCGACAGGTTGTTGAACCTGGCCAGGGAGTCTGGCAGGAGGCAGACATTGGCACTGCAGAAGCAGAAGCTTCTGCCTTGTGGCCTCCATTCTCCAAGCCCTGTGTGTCCAGCCTGACCCTGCTCTGCCAGGTTCTTGTCTGGTCTGAACCCAAAAAATAAGTCATAATAAATAATAAGAAAAGACTGGTAACTTTCAAACTAATCGTTGTTTACTTTTCTTTGGTGAACACAAAACATAATTACCAGTAGGCTTTTAGACAATTCAGCACTAAACTTTCCATGCCTGAACGTTTCTTACAAACCATCATTATGTGCTGTGAGATAACAAATTCACCAGCAATTGACCGAGCAATGTACTGTTTATGATATTTATGATATAAGATGCATATTTCATAAATTTTTTATGTTTAAATGTTCCTTATGTGCCTTCTCCTGTGAAATGCATGAGCACTAGAAGGTGAGTTTAGGTACCTGTAAAAACCTGCAGAACAATTTTGCAGTTTTAAAACTCTTTCTTTAAAATAACTTTCTGTTTTCCAACTTTAAACTGACTTACTTTCATAAATTGATATTTTAAAATGTCATGATCAGAAAAGGTGTTTCACAGTAAATCAGAATCTGTTAAAAAATGTTTAGTTTTGGCAAATAAAATAAAGTAAAATAAAAAGAACTTGAAAATATAAGAGATAGTTTGTTGTTTTACCACATGACTTGAAAACACAACAGTAGGAGTTTTATGTTTGCAACCTGAACTAATCATGACAGGTTCGTTTCTTGACGTTCTAATCTATGACTCAGATAGATTTAAGTCATAAAAAGAAAACTCTGTAACATATTTTTTTCAAGCTAAAGCAAAATAAAGGCCAGGTTTCAGGGCATAAATTTGCTATTGGACAGAAATTTGGTGCCAAACAGGATGTGAGTTTTCAAAAATATTGGCATATCTTGATACAGATATTTTTTTCTAAAATTGTACTTTGGTATTTTTACTTATTTATTTTTAATTTTGCTCTCGGGTAAAATCCCAGCATAGTTTGAGCCTGCTGATGTATAATAAAATGCACTTAAAGATGAGAAGAAAGGCTAAGAATTTGAAAATGCACAAAGATCTTTTGTGCTGGTGATGGTAGAGATTATAACTAATGTTCATCTTGTCTGTTTTTTATACAGTAGTCCCTTGTTACGTCACGGTTTGTTTATCATGGTTTGTTTATCGTGGTTTTTCAAAATAAGATTGGATATGACACACAAATGGCTAATTGATGGATGAGCTGCATGATCGGCATGGAATTTTTATTTAAAATGAATTATTTTAAATTATTTAGCACCTGCTGCATCTTTGTGCAGCCCATACTGCAGGATAAGCTTCCTGCTGCAGCTGATCAGCTGTTCTCCGTGCAGAGCAGAGAAGTGGGCGTGGCCAAGAACACTTGCAGGTGGCTGAGAGCAGCGGAGGCACAGAGCTGAAATGATATTCTGTGCTCTTTTAGAGTGTTTAGAGTTTAGAAACATTGTTTGGAATATTGCAAGAGTGTGGGAAGGATTT